TGGAGGAATTAAGCTTGCTCTGTTTGACCGTGGGACAAGACATTTGGGAGTTTGCATTTTGTCAGCCTGGACTTTGCTACATGTACTTTTTCCCTTTGTTGATTTTGCTTTGCTTCCTTCACTGTTATAAGTCATAGCCGTGAATACAACTACATGGTGAGTCCTGTGAATACTCCCAGCAATCACTAAGCCTAGGGGTGACCTTGGGATTGCTAACACAGCTGGTGTCAGAAGCTGGACTCATGAAGAGGGAAGAAGCAGTAGGATGACAAACATTTGTTGCTTGGGTGGCTATAAAATCATTCATAGTATGTAACAGCAGGTGAGCCTGTCTGTTGTGACAGGTAAAAATTGTTTATGAAATTTGAAAATGGTACCGCTAACACCAGGAGAACTGGCTCTCTCATTCCCCTGGCAGTTTCTGGCCATGCTGACTAAAGTGAGGGGAGAAAAAGCAGAGCCTGGATGATGTCTCTGTTTTTGTTTTTTCTTGCCTCCAGGTGGGAAGAGAAGAGGCCCAAAAGTTCCCAAAGGTGAGTTTTGGGTGGATCAAAAGTGTTGAAAGGTTATATGCTCTCTCCTCCAAATAGGAAAAAATAATAGCAAAATCAGAGCCCAGGGCTGGAGCAAAGCTTTAGATACATTAGGGGAGAAACAGGAGTGGGGAAAGTGAACCACTTCAGCTGTTTTTTCAGCCTAGCTGCTGCTGCTGCAGTTCCTCTCTATACCTATACCTTGCATTCCAGTCAGGATCTCCCAGCAGCTGTAATGTTACTATTATAAACACTGAATTTACCACTAGAAGTTTGATTAAATTTAAAATAAGGACGGCCAGGCACAGTGCTTCATGCCTGTAATCCCAACACTTTGGGAGGCTGAGGTGGGCAGATCACTTGAGATCAAGAGTTTGAGACCAGCCTGGCCAACATGGTAAAACCCCATGTCTACTAAAAATAAAAAAATTAGCCGTGTGCAGTGGTGGGTACCTGTAGTCCAGCTACTCAAGAGATGAGGCAGGAGTCGCTTGAACCCAGGAGGTGGAGGATGCAGTAAGCCGAGATTGTGCCACTGAACTCCAGCCCGGTCAACAGAGCAAGACTCCATCTCAGTAAATAAATAAATAAATAGGCCGGGCGCGGTGGCTCAAGCCTGTAATCCCAGCACTTTGGGAGGCCGAGGCGGGTGGATCACGAGGTCAAGAGATCGACACCATCCTGGTCAACATGGTGAAACCCCGTCTCTACTAAAAATACAAAAAACTAGCTGGGCGTGGTGGCACGTGCCTGTAATCCCAGCTACTCAGGAGGATGAGGCAGGAGAATTGCCTGAACCCAGGAGGCAGAGGTTGCGGTGAGCGGAGATTGTGCTATTGCACTCCAGCCTGGGTAACAAGAGCGAAACTCCGTCTCAAAAAATAAAAATAAAAATAAATAAGTAAATAAATTTAAAGTAAGGTAAAAACGTGGTAGGGGGTTAAGAGATGACTTTGTACTTTGCAGCTATTGCATCTAGATGTATAATCAAAAATGACACAATATGTAATATGCTGCTAGTCATTTCATAAATGCTAGAGGGATTGTTCCAATCAGGAAAAGTGAGACAAAACTTCCTGCTTTTTTTCTGCTGAAGAGACCGGAATTTCAACTCTCTGAGTATTGGGAACAGGGTAAGCTCTTCACAATGAACGATATTTACTATGGTTTTTTTTTTTTTTTCACTCAGAAAATGATTTGGTTCCAATGCATACTACGTTTTTTTAACTAACGCTGCCTCTGGAGAAGAGAGACAACATGAAAACAAAGGAAATCTCCAGATGGAAGAAATATACTTCAGGAATTTTAAATGCAGTTTTTCATTGCTATTGAATTATTGTGAAATTAGATGTCTGACCCTTAGAAGCCTGATGATTTTCCAGGCTGATATGCATATTTTTGAAGGGATCAATTTGGATCATAAGACTGACAAGGTAAAATAGGACTTGGGATGGTCTTGCTGATTACTTGGACTTGAAATATGACTGTGAGCCTGAAGTATCTTGGCTTTGCTGCTGCCAAAGACAAGACACTAACTTTTTTGGAATCCTAAAATCACAGATCTCAACTACCTGGATCTGACGCTGGGCTGAAACCTGACACTCTGCTACTGGGCTATTTCAACCTTAACACAAGCTGTGCTGAACTGAAAGCAGGCATATACTCAATAAACAGGACTTTGCCTGAAATACTTTTTCTGTTTTTTTTTTTTGAGACAGGGTCTCACTCTGTCACTCAGTCTGGAATGCAGTGGTGTGATCACAGCTTCCTGTAGCCTCAATGCAGCAAGCAATCTGCTTAAGAGTTCAAGCAACCCTCTCACCTCAGCTCCCAATTAAATGGGACTACAGGTGTGTCCACGACATGGACATGGGATTTTTTTGTTTGTTTTTTTAGAGATAGGGTCTCTCTATGTTGCCTAGGCTGGTCTTGAATTCCTGGGCTCAAGCGATCATCTTGTCTTGGCTTCCCAAAGTTCTGGAATTACAGGTGTAAGCCGCTTTGGCCCTAAAAGACTACTGAAGATTTAAAAGATATCCTCCTGTGGAGCCAGAAACTATAAAAACATCATGGATTCTGGCTGGACCACATCAACCACTTACAGATATCCAAAGAAAAAGGCTTACTCTCTCATGGGACTACCCAAAATCAAGCTGCTGATTAGTCTTATATATCTAATATGGAGACTAAAAGTATTCTCAACTGATGTTTCCTACCAAAAGCTTTAAGTTGGGAGAAGGCACATCATAAAGAGTGTAGCCCCTTTGACCACTTCTTACAGGTTAGATTTTGACCCCTTCTTGAGATGTTTCACTGCTACTGACTTGTGTTTGTCTTCCTAGATTGGTTAGTTTGCAACAATAGATTTAATAATCTGACTCTATTTCTCTCTTTCCCTCCTGGTACACACACACCTTAGTAAGTCTGTTTGGTTATCAAACACAGCTATCCCCAGAAAGGAACTGATCTTTTCTAGGTTACTCACTAGACAAATGATCAGGACAAAAGGGGTGGGAGATAACATAAGCCCATTCTGAAAAGTTTCAAAAATTCAGGATTTCATCCTGATCGATTCCTAACTATAATTTGTCTAATTAAGTTGCATAAAAATGTTTTTCAGTAAAAAACATCTTTTGTCCCTCATGCAGACCTGGATGATTGAGAAGACGTAAGATTTTCATTACTGAAAGGGATATGCTGATTTTATAAGGAAGAGAAAACAAAACCCAGAATCTGAGAAGGGACAGGAGAAGAGGAGGACATTAAATGATTTTTGCTTTTCACAACTATTCCCACTTTTCCTAAAGGGAATCTCTCAGGGTTGCCTTTCCAAGCTGCCATGAGTCCTTTTAATTCACACTGACTGCTGAACTTAAAATCATACCTAACAGCACCAACTATGAGATGGCAAAGAACAGCCTCAGCTTCTGCACTTTTCATGCACAACAACTCCTGTTTGGATCTAACTCCCTTCAGGCAGTCCTGCTGAAACCAAGGCCTGAACTGAATTACAAGTCAACTACACTGAATTGGGAACCCCAGACTGTAAGGCCCCATGGTGGGGGGCCACAGCGAGGGCCTTGTTAACCTGCACCACCTAATATCTTGCTTGGGGTATCTTAACAATTTTAAACATCTTTCCAGGAGTACTACATGAGGCCTCTGGGATTATTTGTCAGTGTTCGTACCCTAGCATGGCACTGTCTCAATCCTGGAAGGCTTTCAGGTCTGCTTCAACTTACTGTCCTGAGTTGTGCTGTGCCTAAGTTGACACTTATGCCTGAGTTGACCATGTTAAAAATGGCCCATACAGAAACTGAAAGAGAAAGCCACATGGTTTTCTAAGACAAACCTTATGATCTATGGTGTTTGTTTTAACTGGCTAAATTCAGGGGCCCTAAAAAGGGATAACTAGCCAGGCATGGTGGCTCATGCCTGTAATCCCAGGACTTTGGGAGGCTGAGGTGGGCAGATTACCTGAGGTCAGGAGTTTGAGACCAACCTGGACAACATGGTGAAACCTCATCTCTCCTAAAAATACAAAGATCAGTTGGGTATGGTGGCACATGCCTGTAAGCCCAGCTACTCAGGAGGCTGAGGCATGAGAATCACCTGAACCCGGGAAACAGAGGTTGCAGGGAGCCAAGATGGTGCCCCTTCACTCCAGCCTGGGAAACAGCAAGACCCTATCTAAAAAAAATAAAAAATAAAAAAAGATAACTGAGATCAATACTACAGGTTGGTCTTGCCCTGCTACACAGGGGCCTGCAGACATAATTTTGCTGTAAAAATATTTTGGCCAACAGCAAAACATTAAACCAGCACCCCTGAGACTGCATCTCCGAAAAATGCTGGCTTGCCAAGGCATTTCTCAAGATTAGCCCTTGGCTGGCACCTGAGAATTTGAATGGTCAAAAGTTTCCTACACTTAAATAAAACTTTCCTGAAATAATGGTGGCTCACTGTACCTAAACTGTTTATACAAAAACTATGGTTTACTCATTTGGGTACACATTGGGAGAGACTGCCTACGTGACCAGCCTCCATAAAAGCCCTGAGTACTGAGTCTCTAATAAGCTTCTCTGGTAGACAACGTATCACATGTTGTCAATCACTGCTGGAAAAATTAAGTGTGTCCTGTGTGACTCCCCTGGGAAAGGACTCTTCTTGGAAGCTTGTGCTTGCTTCTTCCTGCACTTCATGCCATGTACCTTTTCCCTTTGCTGATTTTGCTTGGGATCCTGTCACTGTAATGACTCATAGCTGTGAGTATGAATGTATGTTCAGTCCTGTGAGCCCTCTAGCAAATCATCATACCTGGGAGAGGTCTTGGAGACCCTCAACATAACTAGTAATACTTTTTATTAGGTAAACAGACCAATCCAGAGTTACACATTCCATCTGGGTATAGAAACACATCACCAAAATTTCCTGTATGTTAGCAAACAGAATTAGTGGGGTACTTACGAAAACAGATCGAACCACTGCTGTTTTGTAACAGATTCCTGGCGTAAAAGCTTCAAAACAATCGGGCGCATAAAATCCCATTTGTCTTCAAACTGAAGAGAACCCTTATTCTTGGGGAAAAAAAAAAAAAGAGAAAGTTTAACTTTAATGCAGTTAAATAAAAAGTATCCTGTAATTTTCATAAGACAGCTAGAGAAATGAAGGGCTCAAATGTAAATGAACCAGTTTTCCATAATGGAATTCCTACAGGCTTAATCTGGTATTGAGGAATCACAGGAAGATAATCATAAAAGAGAAAAATTAATTGTACAAAAGTATGTAGTGAAGAATTTGGCCTTATCCAAAGAGACAGTCTGGTCCTTCCTCCCAACTTCTAGTAGGTAATCTCTGGATGCTTAGAAAGTTAGGTTTAGTAAGTGTGTCTTTGTCTGGGAGGCCTTCGGCCATTCTGGATAGGCTAACAATGTAATTCAGGGAGGGGACCGTCCATACCTGTATAATCCTAGGTGGAGGTTGACCAATCAGAAAGACGAACAATGTAACCTGAGATAGGGGTTTTGGGACATACAAGGTCAGTCAACACGGAGACCGAAATTATTCTTGTGAGCAATTAATCAGTCATGCCTATGTGAATAAGCTCCATAAAAACTCAACAGTAAAGGTTGGGTGAGCTTCCTTATTTGGTGGTACTCATGCATACTGTCACACACTGATGCCGGGAGAGAAATGTGTTTTGACGACATGAGGAGAAGGCAAGAGAAGCTCTGTATTTGGAACCCTCCTAAGCTCTGCCTTATCAGTCTCTTCCTTTCCGAATCCTTTCCCTATAACAAATCATAAATATGGGTACAACAGCTTTCACTAAATGCTGTGAGCCTTTCTAATGAATTATCAAACCTGAGCGTTTTGGAAATCTACCAAACTTACAGTTGGTGTCAGAAGTGAGAGTGGTCTTATGTGGAGACTGTATCATCTAATTTTGTAGTTGTCTTAAACTCCTCACAAAAAGTATACTGGAAATCTATATAAACTCTGAAAACTGAGGAGAAAAAAAACATAGAAAAATACCCATCTCCTTTTCTAATGCTAACAAAAAACCCTGACACTAAACTGTTGAGAACAGTGTAAGAAATGGAAACTCTAGGCCAATCTTACCAGGGAACAAAGATGCAAAAATCTAAGTAAGTATTATCAAATCAAACAAGTGGCATATCAAAACAATCATACCTCATAATCATATAGTTTATCTCTGGAATGTAAAAGTGGTACAACATTAGGAAAAAAAATAATCAATTACATTACCAAAAACAAAGGGAGAGAGAGAGATCCCATATGTGTTAGTCATTAGTACTCCTTTTCAAGTTAAGTGTGACCATGTGATTTTTTTTTTGTTTGCTTTTGAGACAGGGTCTTGCTCTGTCACGCATGGAAAGAACACAGAAGTCTTTTCTTGAGTGACATGGAGATAGAGAATGCCCTCTTAACAAGAGGATACTTTCTAACTTCAACTAAGTCTATTTCCACAAGCACTTTTGGTAATTTATAAAATTAAACATAGTGTAAGTCCTGCAATTAAAAATAAAAAAGGTACAAAGAACCAGAGTAGCGAGGTACTAGAGATAAATTAAATACTGGTTAGGCTCTGAAATCTCCTAATATTCTAATTGATATATTGGCTTATAAGCAATAGATATAGATAGATACAGATATAGTTAAATACCAGAAAATGTATTTGGTTCTCCTGTTTGATGGAACACATAATAAACTTTCCCCCACACTCAATTTTAAAAGGAATTTAATAACTGAATGTTTTCTATTAAACTTTTACAATAGATTCCAAAAATGATGCTCAAGCAGTTCTTTGACCTATTCTCTATTAAACTAAAGAGCATATCACTAAATCATAACTAAGTGGCAGGACACCAAATTCACTATCTACAAAAGAGAGTGCCTTAGAAATAAGCAAAAGATTCTTCCGACTATGAAGATTGATTTATATGTTTTCACTGACTGACTGAAGGCTGCCTCATCTCTATTAACTTGCTACAAAGTCTCTTGAATTCTTTCATTATTATTCAGAATAGCAAACAGGTTGGACTCAACAGTTGCTAACAGGTCTAGAATTCACTCATTCACTGGCTCTTTAGAGGACTTCAACATTTGCCATACCCCAGTCCCTCCATCCTTTACTCCTTACAGGACAACTAATCCCCTCACAGGCACTCTTTTCACATGAATGAGCCACAGGGAAGCCAACAGGGAGCTGGCAATGAGGGAATATCTGGGAAAAGAGTATTCTAGGCAGAGAAAGCAGAATTCAGAGAACATAAGGTAGAGGCATGCTTAATGTATTCAAGGCAAAGCAAAGCAAAGAAAGAGGAGAGAGCAGATAAGGTCATAGAAGTAACTTTGCTTACTGGATCTTACTGAGCTGGATCTTGTAGGACGCTGAAGGCCATTATAAAGACCGGTTTCTACTATAAGTGAGATGAAGAGCCATTAAAAGATTCTGAGGAAGAAGTATCATAATCTTATTTACATTTTAAAATCTCCCTCATTACTTGTTGAGAATACATTATAAGAGACAAGGTTCAAAACTGGGTATAGGATTAGAAAGCACTGATGGTGACTTGGACTGAGGTGATAGCAATGGAGGTAGAAGGTGTAAGAAGTGGTTCAATTTTTAGATACCCAAAAGGTGATACTAACAGGACTTCCTAACAGTAAGCATCTGAGATATGAGAAAATGAAGTAAAGCAAGGCTTTTGTCCAATAAGTGCAGCACTATCATCAACTAGAATAAAAGAAGATTTGACAGGCTTATGAAAAGTTTCTGAGACTGGTTTTAGATATATTACATTTAACATCTCTATTAGACATTCATGTGAAAATGTTGAATAGGAGTTCAATATGGAAATCTAGAATGTAAAGGTCTACTAGAAAATCAAAAACTGGAAGTCATTGGAATATAGATGGTTTTAAAACCTGTTGTTGGCCGGGCGCGGTGGCTCAAGCCTGTAATCCCAGCACTTTGGGAGGCCGAGGTGGGTGGATCACGAGGTCGAGAGATCGAGACCATCCTGGTCAACGTGGTGAAACCCCGTCTCTACTAAAAATACAAAAAATTAGCTGGACATGGTGGCGCGTGCCTGTAGTCCCAGCTACTCAGGAGGCTGAGGCAGAAGAATTGCTTGAACCCAGGAGGCGGAGGTTGCGGTGAGCCGAGATCGTGCCATTGCACTCCAGCCTGGGTAACAAGAGCGACACTCTGTCTCAAAAAAAAAAAAAAAAAAAACCTGTTGTTGGATGAGATCATTGTGAGAGACAGACCCAAGTCTGAGGTCTCAGGTATCCAACATTAAGAGGCGGACAGAGGAGTAAGAACTAGCAAAGGAGACAGAAAAAGCATCCAGAGCATAGGTAGCAAGAAAACTAAAAGTATGGTATTCTGGACAAGTGAATAAAGTATATCAGAAAGCCAGAATAATTAATTTAACAAATGCTCCTGATAGATTACATAAAATAACCAATGAAACAGCAATATGGAAGTCACTGAAACTTTGTCAACAGTAGTTTTTGCAGAGTGGTAATGACAGCCAGATTTCAGTGAAATAAAGAGTGGAATTAAGAGAGAATGAGGAGCCAGGTGCAATGGTTCATGCCTGTAATCCCAGCACTTTGGGAGGCTGAGGCGGGGATCGATCACTTGAAGTCAGGAGTTCGAGACCAGCCTGACCTACATGGTGAAACCCTGGCTCTACTAAAAATACAAAAAATTAGCTGGGTGTGGTGGTGGGCCCTGGCAACCCCAGCTACTTGGGAGGCTGAGGCAGGAGAATCACTTGAACCTAGGAGGCGGAGGTTGCAGTGAGCCAAGATCATGCTACTGCACTCTAGCATGGGTGACAGTGAGACCCTATCTCAAAAAATAAGTAAGTAAATAAAAACAAAAACAAAGAAAAAATCTGGAAAGATGAGAGACACCTCTTCACAATTTTTCCTGTATAAGAGACCAAAGAAATGGCATGGTAACTGATAGGGTGAGAGTAATTTAAAAAATAATTTTTTAACGATAGGATAAATATAGTATGATTGTATGCTGACAGGAATGGTCCAGGATATAATGAAATGTTGATGATGTGGGGAATGGGAGAGAAACTGCTAGTGATTTAAACTGCACTGGCAGGCAAGAGGGAATGGGATCTAGTGCATATGGTGCATATGTGGAAGAAGTGACTACAGGCTAAGAGGAGGAGGCAAACGAATGTACATGCAGGTGCTGTTATGAGGGTAGATGCTGTATGACTCTGAGAAGTTCATATTTTATTGCTTTAATTTTCCAAGGATGTGGACATAAGGATAATGCCTGAGAAGACGGGGAAGGAAATGCTACAATGCTGACAGAAAACATGTGAAAAACACATCTAAGAAAGCGGAAGAGTAAGTGACTATGGAAGTGCAGTATGGCTGGGCTCATTGTGGTCATGGATTTAAGGTGAAAATAGCATAGTTGTGTTTTTCTCCAATGACATTCAGCTGCACAGGTACTGACACTGAAAAGTGAAGAGATGGATTTAAACAGGGTTGTACACTTTTCCCAAGCAGAACAAGACAGGAGCAAGGGAGTGAAAAGTGTATTGAAGTGAATGATTAGAATGACTGAGAAGAGAATTTATGTTGGGTAAGGGGGAGAAAATGGAATTCAAGATGAAAAGAGAAAGAGACTTCTGCTTCCAATCATGACAGAATAACAGGAACCAGATTTCCCCTCCTGCCTAAACAACTAGAAAGCCAAAGGCAGTGCAGGACAGTGCTTCCTGAGAAAAGAAAAACAAATGAGTTGAGTGCTACCAATGTCCAAACATACTGCCTAGAGAGTGTCTCCAGGCCTCATCACAAGGAGGGGAAACTCAAACAGCAGTTTCACTAAGTGACAGGGTTCGGAGTTTGAAAACGCTGAGGTGACTAGAATTCATGGCACAAAGGGAGCTCTGGATACCTACAGAGAAGGCCCCTCAAGCCTGTGACTGAGTACTAACCTGGGTACGAGAAAACTATGAGACGGGGGAAATAATCATTAGGAAGGAATGGGCAGAACAATAAGCAGAGT